AAAAACTAAAATATTGCCACGTGGGCCTCCATATCAGAAGCTACCGGGAGTTACTGGCTGTTGACTGCTCAAATGACGAAATTGGTTAATTTTTCAAACTTGATGGACTTTATTGACTCGAAAAATTGTAGGACTCAATTGACTTTTTTGCGAAAGTACGAGTACCTATTTGACAGTTTTCCCTATGAAAAATGACATTGAAATCACGACAATGTCAATAGCAATGCGATGACAATGTCAATCTTGATGTCAATAGCAATGTAATGATAATGTCAAAAATATTTCTCAATTTAAAACGTAGTCATCATAAATATTTCCAAAAACAAACAATGTCAAATATTGTCAACAATATCAAAATAAAAAATGACACAATATCAATTTCAATAATATAAAAATGACATTGTAACAATATCAACATATTCGACTTTTACATTGTCACAAACCAACAATGTAATACAATAACAATGACATCGAAATCAAACAATTATGAAAACAATGTCAACATTACAAGATGTCACAATATTAAAATTATTTATCGCATTGTAAATTTGACAATGTTGATGTCATTATAAAATATATGACAATAACATCAAAGTGTTACTATAACAATGACATCTGAATCAAATTTTATCTAAAACATATATTAATAGAAACATAAACAAAACAAATATCTGTAAAAAAAGTTAGAAGTTTAAACAAAAAATGTGAAGAGGCATATACATGCCACTACGCCGCCTCCTGTAAAGGAAAACAAAAATTTACAAAATTTACAAGGCACCGTACGACAAAGGCATCGAACGTTCATTCCCAGATCTACCCAAGAAAAGAAGGAAAAGAGAAGATTCCCATATCTACCCAAGAGAAGAAGGAAAAGAGGAGGAAGAAGAGGGGAAGAAGAGGATAGAACACACAAAGCCTCTCGTAGCAGCTGTTGTGCCGCCGCATCTTCTCCGTTGAGCCTGCTCTATCGCCACATTTGTTGTGCTGCCGCATTTTCTTCGTCGAGCCACCGCTGCCACATAACCGTTGGAGTGTCGTCGTGTCTTATCTGTCTTGAAACTCCCCTGCTTTGCTATGGAGGAAGAAGAGAGAGCGTATGGCGGCAAGGTTGTGGAGGAGAGATAGAGATTTTGATGAGGAAAAGATAATGTTTGGTGTACTAACAAGGGGCGGACCGTAGTACAGACCCAGGGGGGTTACCGCACCCCAACAAGAATTTTTTTAGTGTATATATATATGAAAAATAATTTTCTCCCTCCGAAAAAATATTTTTAACCCCCCAAAAAATATTTTCACCCTCCTCAAGATGACTTTCTTGGGTGCGCCCCTGATACTAACCGAAGGAGATAAAAGGGTAAATGCTTCTACACATATTAAATGAAGTACTATTTACGACCTTAAAAAGACGTCACTCCTATTTAGGCATATAAACTTTTTATTTGTCTTATTTAGAAGCATTTCTCTTTGATTTTTCAATTCGACTTTGACCCAAAGTAAAAAACAAAGAATGAAATTAAAAAGTTCTGTTCAATTTTGATTTTCAAAATATGAAATCACGGTTAAATTAGTTTGATTTGTTTTAGTTTAATTTCTTTTTTTTTACAGAAGTGTTCTCATTTGATAAAAATGACACATAATTAAATAACAAACAAACCTACAATATAAAAAATCAATGGAAATATACTACAAAAAAAGTAAAATAATAGAAGACTAAGTAAATACTTCGTATATATTTGAATTATACATGAGAGAACACATATACGTGTAAGAATATATAATCTTATATTTAAAAAAGAAAGTTAAGGGTGTTAATTATTTCATTTTATACTTTCTAAAAACTTTCTTTTGTTTGGCCATATAACATAAAAAGCCACGAGTATTAAATATCCTTTCAAGACAAGAGCATATAAATTCGTAATTTACATTTTTTGTGTGTAGTTGGATGAAGTTCATGAATATATATAATTTCTATTACGTGCAGTTGAGATGAATATTTATTTGCTATCTCAATATAGAAAAACATAAGTTACTAGAAAAAAAAGTCAATAGCAACCAAAATACATCATCATGCATGCAGCAAACAACAAAAGACTTATCAAAAGTCAATAGATCAATTTGTTGTATTGTAGTCGGGAAGAAAAGTGTGAATACATTTTTAAACTGAATAAAAAACTAATTATAACAACTTAACAACTAAAATAAGAAACTCTTAATAAATACTCCGACTTCACACAAATTAAGGAAATAAATTTAATTTTACTATAGAATACACTGTTGTGACACTGTTTGACATTGTTTGACACTGTTTTGCACTGTTTTGATGTAGATAATTTGCCAAATAAGGAAGGGAGAAGAAGTGTGATGTTTATTTTAGACCTACCCAAAAAAGAAAGTGCAAATTTCATTTGGGACCAGAGGGAGTATATAACACCAAACAATAATTTTCTAGGATCAGATAATAAAAATTAGGGAGAATTTGACTTTGCACCCCATGTTTTAGGTGATTTTTGAGTTTGCACCATATTTTCAAAATCATTAATGTATGCACCCCAATTTACAATAAAATCATTTGACATTGCACCCAACTCCTTCAAAATTTTTGGGTTGATGGGGTGCATACATTAATGATTTTAAAAACATGGTGCAAAATCAAATATCATCCAAAACATGGGGTGCAAAATCAAATATCACCCAAAAATTAACTATGATATTATAATTAATGTTCAACGACCAAATAATAAAATTTCATATTTTTAAATGTTGAATTTATTCAGTTCGATTTAATTTTTAAAAGGTCATAACTAAAACTCGACAACCACTATTTGATATTTTGCATCGAGTTTCAATTTTTTTTCATTTTGGCTGTGATTCGGTTTGTTTTATATTTAAGTTTCCCTAACCTACCCTTAATGCGACCGCGCATAAGTTCGACCTCGACTAGACTAGTTTGCACCTCACCCTATCGTATACTTTGGTTGTTTCTTTATTTTACACATAAAATTCAAATATGCCTTCACTTTTGAAATAGATTCCTAATCCAAATTAGAAAATCTTTATAGGTTTACGAATTCCTACTTTTATTTTAATAGAATGTTTTTAATTGGATTGATTTCAGTTCAAAATTTAATAATTATAACAATAAGTCACATAAAAAACAGACATCTAATAGACCATATTAATTCATACCAAATCAAATCCGAAATTTTAATTCAATTAAAAACGTTCTTATTAATGAGTAAACTGTAAGATCTAACAATTAAGAAATATAGATTTTTTTATTATTGGGTTCATAACAATTATGTTTACTTGAGATGCTTATGTAGAAGACCAATTTAACTTTTTTTCATATATTTTTTTCTTTGTTCACGAGTGGAATATATTTCACATATATTTTTCATGATTCAGAAGATTCTACCTATTTAACCAGAATTCAATCAATTTCAGCAAAATAAGTCAATTCTATTTACTTTAGTATTATCAAACAGACTCTATATTAGACTAAGTTTATTTTTCTTTTAAATCACATTATATGTGATCCGGTAGAAATTAAATTTCAAATTAGCTAAATTACATACTGCCCGTGCATTGCACGGGCATGAAAGCTAGTATTTTATATAAAACAATTATTTAATACATTAATAAGTAATGTGCAGTCAAAGTAGAGTATATGAATACTTGAATAGTGTAAAAGCCAGAGTAAAATATATAAATTGTGTAAAATTCAAAATGTCTCAACTATTAAAGAAAGGAGAAAATATGAGTACTTGTGCATGACCTCAATATCATGGCTTATATTTTCTCCGTTCTTTCATAGTTGAAACATCATGACCTTTACTCTATTTACATATTTTAATTTTACTCTTACGCTATCAGACACTCTATTGTGACTGCATTTTATTTATTTATGTACTACATAATTGTTGTATAGTATGAAATATTATCCATTTTGTTTAAATATTAAAATTTTAAAATGTGTCTATTATATTTTTAGTAGTAAAATGAATATGTTAATGGTGAAAATCATTTGCTTGCAAATATGAAATTGAAATTGGTAACACTAAAATTGGCTGAATCGGCCGATTCTGCTGAAATTTATGAAGTTCTGGTCGAAATGATTGGATTGACCGATTTATTAAAAAATTATATTTAAAGTATTTTTATTAATAAAATAAAGAAAAAATTATATCAAAAATAGCTAAAATGATCATCTACAGTATACAGTCAGAAAAATAACTCTAACCTTACCTTTTTATTTTTACGCAATTCAGCACGCGAAATCAAAAAATACGTATTTTAAGAAAAAACTGACTAATAAGACTGATAACTGAAAGCTTAAAATGTTAACCGCATCCTCACATATGTTCATAGTATTGTAATTTGTGAATTAATCGTATGTACTCAACACCATAAATTTACATTTATGAAAAAAATATATGTGATTTATAATGCTAATATATTTTTTATTTAAAGTTTGGAGTATATTTCACATATGAAAACTTTGGGTAATTACCTTACATTCCTTCCAAATATAAGTACTAAGCATTTAAATTATTTTCGCGTGAGATATGACATAATTTTTAAATAACAAAGGACCAATGTAAAGAAAATTCTTTCCCAACAGGGTTTTACACACATATTCTAATTGTTTTTTTTTTTCTAATTTTCTTTTGATAATGGACTAATGGTTGTCTATTAAGTCTTAAGCAATCATTCCTTTTCATTTCCAAAGACTCTCATCCTAAAATAGTCGCCGTCAGTGGAAAAAAACATCCACTCCAAAACACATACAAAAAATACAAAAAAGTGAAATTCCAACGTCCCATAATATCTTCACATTTCCTTCACCGGTGGTGGCGTAGCTAACGGTCTAACGGTTAGCGAGGGAGTGACATAAGTGTGAGGTTATGAGTTCGAATCTCGATAATTGCAATCAGAGGTCACTATGACAAAAATGTATATGAACTTTGCAAATATCGAGGAAAACCCCACTCTCAGTATGTCATGCTTTTTTCTCTCTCTTCACATTTCCTTTCTTTTTTCTCGGATTAAATCATCTGGTCTGACCTTCTAATACTGATCATCATCATCACTATCATCTATCAGTCCAATCTTTATCCCCACGCGCCGCTTCCTCCTCATTCCCTCTCCACGCGCCGTCACCCACCCACACTTCTCTGCTACCTTATCTTCAGTTTCTATTTTTTTGTTTTCTAAAAAGGTGAAAAAGGGGGGATCTGCGGTAAAGAAGAAGGGAAAAAGAAGAAAAAGAAAAGGTAAGGAGGAAGAAACCAAAGGGAAAGTAGGGGCTTTAACTCACCTTGAGCATGATTTCAATCCAATGCTCGAGCTGAGACCTAAAATCAAATGGGTGGAGTGACGTCATCCATTGCCTCTAAGTTTGCCTTCTTCCCACCGAATCCTCCGTCGTACACGGTGGTCCCCGACGAATCCTGCGCCGGAAAACTTCACATACCGGAGGTTCCGGAGAGGGATGCAGTAGATGTCTTGAAGCTGCGAACCCGAAAGGGGAACGAGATCGTGGCCGTCCATGTGAAGCATCCAAAGGCGTCAGCTACTATGCTCTACTCTCACGGTAATGCCGCCGATTTGGGGCAGATGTTCGAACTCTTTGTTGAGTTGAGCCTCCGGCTTCGTATCAATCTAATTGGGTAAAAATTTCTCAACTTACTATTAGTTCATATCCAAGTTTATCAGTCTTTTTCATGCTTTATTTCCATATATCCTGGTTAATTTAAAATATTTGGATTTCATTAATACGATTATTTACTTTCATGGTTAGAGCAAAAAGATTTGACTTTTTTGTTTTACTTCAGCTGACTGTCCAAGATCATTAAATCCTTCGGCCTAGAATTTGGTCATATTGTGTATGCGTATGAATAGAAATGGCATTTTTGTAATGTTAAACGGTGCAGGGGTGATATTAATGCTCAAAATCTGATATTAAATGCATTCCTGGTAGTTTAGTAAATTAGTTTTACTCTGGAAATTGACATGATGGTGCAACTCAAAATAAAATCAAGTTTAGGTTTGCTAGTTTCCAATTTTATCAGTCTTTCAGGCTTCATTTTTGCACATACAGTTGAGTTTATGAAATATTTGGATTTAAACGACGTGATTTCATCTTTCTCATGGTTTTAGCAAATAAAATCGATCTGTTTTAATTTCAGTTGGTTATTACCTATTACCTTGCTAAAATCTAGCCATGGTTTTTTGTTGCTATATATGACATTTTTGTAATTAATGATAAAAAAGTTGATATAAAGAGCCTGTTTGGTGATTGCTGATTGGTTGAATTGCCTGGATAAGATGAATTAAAAGTGTGATAGTTTATTTTGTTAAAATGAATGATTGTATGCATAGTATCTAAAAGGATATGCAGTAAAGAAATTATACGTACAAACAAGAAAAGGAGAATGAAATTATCATTTCAATGTAAATATAAGAATCACCCCAAGAATCAGCGTCTAAAGTAGCAATGTGTCAATTTTTGGGCCGAAAAGCCTAATCGTCCAAATCAGCTCGATGTTGTTGTGTTTGGTGCTTTTTTTTCCATTCTTGTAAGGTGTATAAGTCCATTCAGGCATTCACGCGTACTAAACGGGATGTAATTCATTTCAGTGTCATATGAATATCATTCCTAATATAGAGGGAAAGATCATGGATAAGATATAGCATTGCTCAGAAAAAGACAGTCTGTGCAACCTCAAACAAATCCCAACATTGTTAATTAGTCTATACGTGATTTTGATGTTTACCACTGGCTTCATTATAATTTGGTTGGCAACTAGTTTTCACAACCTGAGATGTTTGAGAACATAACTATCACATCCAAAGTCCAAACATCACTTATCATATTGGCTGCTGCATGCGCTATGCCCACATTGTTGTTAATTTAGCTTTGGAAGATTTGCTACCTTTTCAATTCTTTCTCTGTTGGAGGAATGAAGAGAAGGAAAATAGAATACAGAGTAGCTTTTAGTACACCTTAACCCTGAATTTTTCTTGAAATCTGCTTGTTGAATTCGACCAATGTATGAGAGATAGAATGCAGTGCATCCTCTATATCCCTATTCCCATTTTATTTGGAGAAGTTTCAATTTGATAATCAAATTGTTGCTTTTTTAAGAAGCATGTTTTCTGATTTCTTTATATATTATTTTCTTTTAGGTATGATTACTCTGGATATGGACGATCAACCGGAAAGGTTAGATGTGTACTTTCTTTAAGTAGTAGAATTTAAATTGACAAATTATCTGGTCAAGAGACACTTGCAGTTATGCTAGTGAAAATTTCATACCTACACCCATTGGAGATTGGTTTTACACCACTACCCAAAAAACACATTAATTTTCTCTATATTTTTCTTTCGGTTTTGCTACAGATTTTCTTAAGGTTTAATCCGTAGGGAATCTGTATGAAATCTCGCAAGTAGGAGACCTAGGTCATTTTCATTGTGTAGCTTTTCTAATAATTTCCTTTAGCTTTATTTCACTTGTCTAGATTCTGATAGGGAGTATGTTTTACCAAACATTTTAATCAACGTGTGTTGAAATTAAAGTTACAATTTATTATTCACAAAATACCAATAACAACAAACAACTCAAATTAATACAAGCAAAAATGTACAACAAAGATGAACTAAAACAGCAAAATTACAATTTCACGCACCTAACATCACCGTTCAAAAGTATCAATAATTTTTTGATAATCAATTAAAAATACAAATATATCACACATTTAACTAATAGATGATCTGAAGCATATTATCCATTCCACACTTCCACCTATATAGGGGCTTTGTTGGAAAGGCATTTAGTTTTTATCTGCTCTTCTAAAAAAATATGCTAATGGGATTCAACTTGAAACATAATGTCTATAGATTATCTCTGTTTTTGTATATTACTATTGGTCAAAACATAACAATCACACTTTTTAATGAGACAGCCTAGTGAGTGCAATACATATGCCGATATCAACGCGGTTTATAAATGCTTGAAAGAACAATATGGTGTCAAAGATGAACAGCTGATATTGTATGGTCAGTCTGTGGGCAGTGGCCCCACTATTGATCTTGCATCGCGTCTGCAGAACTTGAGAGGTGTCGTTTTGCACAGTCCGATATTATCTGGGCTCCGAGTTTTGTACCCTGTTAAGAAGACGTATTGGTTTGACATTTACAAGGTAAAACGCTGTTGTGCGTGCTTTTATATTAACCACAATACCACATCAATATGCCATCTTGTAACAGCAAGCCTTTTATTCCCTTTCAGAATGTAGACAAAATCAGTATGGTGAAGTGTCCAGTTCTTGTCATTCATGTAAGTCTGCTTCCTTGTAAATCAAAATTACGCTGCAACATATAGGGCTTTCTAAGCTCTAGATATATTCTTATTATTCTTTATTCCCTTCATTTTTATAGTGGAAGTATCGAGTCTTCTTATATTGATTGAATATTTATACGAGCCAATATATATGATATTAGGTTACTATTCTTATCAAATGGACATTTTAGTATAGAATCTTTGTGCACATTAAGCATAAAGGAGTAATTCGATCATGATAAACCTAACAAAGCTAGTACGATGACTTAACATGTACCCACAAGACTGTGGCTCCAAATATAGCAGCTCCTGGGTTGGATCAATTACTCTTTTAACCTTAATTGACTTCAAAACTGTATTAAAACTTGGTTCTATCCTAAAAGGTGGAGTTGATAGAAGTAGTCTAAAACATTTTTTTTATTTGTATAATTGGCCCGTATGAGATGTGTTAACAATTTTGGTGCGGGAAATTTGCTTATACGGGAGAGTTCACTTTTTTCGTTATAATATAGGGCACATCAGATGAAGTTGTGGATTGTTCCCATGGGAAGCAGCTATGGGAGTTATGTAAGGAAAAGTATGAACCTATATGGATAAATGGAGGCGGCCACTGCAATCTAGAACTTTATACAGAGTACATCAAGCACCTAAAGAAGTTTGTTCTGAGTCTAGGGAAATCAAAACCAACTCCAAATGGATCTGCTCAAAAGCCACCTGCACCATCCGAATCTGAAAACCAGACCAAATCAGCTGAAAATGGTCCTCCTCCTCTTCCTCCTGCAGCTGCAGATAGGTTTGATTTGTGCTCCGATGTTCCAGAAATTTCTAGAAACAGTTTGGATAGTCGACTTGAGAAATCGAAGAAGTCTAATAAAGCTGAAAAATCACGGATGAGCACAGACCGTGTGGACAGATTTAGGAGAAGAAAAGGCTTAGTGTGGTGAGTGGTTTTGCTGCTGAGGAGAGGCAAGTCTCTATTTTATTTTAATTTCAATGCCCCTCGCTGAGATATGTGGTGTTCATTATGGAAAGTAAAGCTGAAATGGAAAATAAGATGCTTGCTTTCCCTTATCATGTAAAAATGACAGTTTATTGTACAAGTAATTTCATTCAGTGGCTCTCTGTCTTGTCTCTTTCTATGCATGTACACCTAAATGTGTTTTTTTTCTTTCTGATGTACAAGCATGTTTTTTTCTCTCAATAGCAGATTTTTAGGTCTACCATGTCTTTTAGAGGCTAAAATATATGCAAGCAGTAATACTCAAGACTTAACATGGTAGTGAATATAACTTTGTTCAAACAAATGGGCTATAGAGTCGGGCTCTGGTTAGACGTCGGCTGCGGGCTGTTCTATGAACTCAACATAAATAGCTAGTTGGGCTGTGGCATAGTCGCATAGATGTCTCATGGATATGCTCGTGTTTGACCCGTGGTCTCAAGTAGAGATGGACATGATTTGGTTTCGCACTAGGAGTGTCCAGTTTCTTCACTTGACCAAACCAAAAATATGGTCCAGAATAAGACCAGTCACCTGCTTAGGGCTGATATGCTTCAAATTCCCTTTTTTTATCTCAATTTTTTCGAGTCAGAACCGTCTACAATCGAACCCAACAGTGCTTATTTCTATTCCATAATTGGGAGAAGAATCGGCTGGTTGGGGTCCAGTTTTGGACTGGGTTCAACCCTAGTCTTGGCAAGGACTGTATTTACCCCTTTGGCCCTTCATTGAGGGCTCCTATCAGTTAAGGATGTCACATTTCTTTACACCCAGTGAAAGATTGATGGCATGATTTTACCTAAGAATGGACCCGGGTCGGTCTAGTCCAGGTCCGAGACCGCCTAGTCCAAAAAAAACGCTTGGGCCCGGGTCCGAACAACATTTTTCCGGGTCTGGGCCGGTTCTGAATACCCAACCAGTCCGGTCCCGGACCCGGTTCCTGTTATTTTTTTTTGTTTTTTGGCCAGACGGAAGCCTACATAAACGGGTCAGGACTAAAACCAGGACTGGAACTGCCCGGTTCGGTCCCCGAAACTGTAAACCGGGACTATGAGCTGCTTTAGGATGGACAGGTCCGGTCCCATGCCCGAAACCGCTCTAAACGGGTCACCCCTAATTTTACCCTCTATGTTCATCCACAGGAAAAGGTACCTGCTTTATGTCTCCATCTCTTTTACGGCATATTACCTCCCTACTAATCTACTGTTGGTAGACCACCACAAGGTACAATGTAGTATGGTACCAAAGACTTGTGAGCATCTCGTTAATCTAGAAAATGAGTACTCTCCGTGCTTTTTTACTCTTTATGCCTTTATATCTTATTATCTTTACTCTCATCTTTCATTTTTTTGGATATTTCATCTAAAAAATTGTACTCCGTATGGTTTTAATTCTTTTCTACTTTAATTATACTCTACAAATTCAATATCAATCAATAATCTCATTTTTATTCATAATTATGTTACTTCCTCATGCTCTTAAGTTCAATCCCAGTGAGATAAAAGTAGTATAATGTGATTAGGGTAGTCATGGACCTGTTTTGGGTACAATTTGGTCACCCTTAAGGTAGGAACCATAACTGACTACTGGTACAGGGCCTCACAGAACAGATGGTTCCAGTCCGGATCCGATTCAGTTACTCCCTGGTTTTATAAGCTTAAAAATGGTAACGAACCCACATGTTCCAATCTTATTTTAGAGGAGCCGGACAATGAAATAACCAGTTACCTGTACTGGATCCAGTTCATGATGCGTTGCTCGGTATGCTTTCATTAAAAAAACTAGTCCAGGTCAAGAACCAGGACAGTGTCCAATACAGTCTGTGGTCATAACACATGACAATTAAGATTCAGTAACTTAAAATGCAGGAGCATTAACATAGAGAAAGAAAAGCATACATGGAATTCTGAAATTAATAAACATTACAAATTAATGTTCCACATTACTCCGTAATTTTTTGTTAGTTGAAATGCAAAGCTTTGATTTACATGCATATATAGAAAACACAGATTAAAAGAAAAGGTGAAGATGGATTTTAGCCATCTTGATGAACTTATCAATCACATGCTATTCTTCTTGATGAACTTGTCGGTGGATTTGGGTTTCTGAAGAGTTCCGAACATCCAATCCATCCATATGGTGAAGTGGCCGTAGTTATGGCGATAGGTGGTATGGTGAATGGAATGATAAGCAGCACCCATGACAGGCCACACCTTGCCATCTATACAGTCATGAATATTCGTTGTCCAAACACACTCAACAAACAACAAGGCTATATGCGTTCGGAGGTGTGTATGTACGAGGAAGAGAGCAGCCACGTGAGGGGTCGCCTGTAATATCCCGTCAAGAGGGTTGAAAGCCAATCCGGCAAAGGGAGAGAGGGTGTCTTGCTTGTTGTAGATATGGTGAGTGGCGTGCAGATACTTGTACAGAGGTTTTATGTCATGCAACTCTCTGTGCATCCAGTAGATCCCGAATTCCACAATGACAAAGTAAACGATTAGGTAGAGAAGATAATGGAGATATCCGACGTCGCTGATGCGGGGGAAGCATTTCGTCCACCCCCGCTCGATCATGTACTCTGATATCGTGGGTAACGCCGAGTACAATGGCATTCCCTTCATTGCAACTCCTATTTGCATCATCATTGCCCTCTTGCTTGGGATCCTCTCTGTCATTTCAATCCGTAATATTCCATATAAATTAAACAAAAAAGTGAAACTTGGAGACTATTTATTGTTAAAAATGGCACTAGTATTATATTGTACGTATATAAAGATACAAACTCATAGCAGTATATATATGAAGTATTATTTGATGATTAACAGTTCTTATTCCGTGAAAGATATACCTTCACACTCCCTCTCTTTCTACTGTTTCTTTTCTTTTTATAGAAAATTGCTCAAAACAGGAACAAAACCTAAGCAAAGTCCTAAAATTTGCCAAAAACATGAGTATATGAGTCCTATTTTGGGAAGAAATTTACCCCTGTAGAAATTGATTTCCTTTTAAAGGCTGAGATTGTTGAATTTTAAGTCGAAATATTTAAAGATTAACACGATACTCGAAAGACAAACTCGGCTATAAAAATATAATGTGAAAATTCCCGAAATATGAGTAAAAATGTTTGAGAATTTCAAAATAACACCCTCTAGAAACTGCCAAACAGTAATTACTCCTATGATAGTCATAGTAATTTCCCAAATATAATTTGTAATTAGAAGTTCCTAAAGTAAAGAAAATAATACTCCCTTCGTCTTGAAAAAGTTATACAAAGTTGACTTTCACGTGTATTAATAAAGTAAGAATTGGTTGAAATTTGCGATGACGAGAGAAAATTAATTTCAGGCACATGTTTCTTACTAAGGAATGAAATGATACCTTTAGGGAAGTAAACATGGCGCTTCAAGTAGTAAATATAGAAACACCAGATTGAACCGGAGAAGAGATAAACTAGGGTTCCGGCGATGAGGTTGCGGAGCCACCCCTGAAGGAAGTGAGGCACGTCGGTCAACACATTTCCCGGTAAGAGCGTCCCCAGCACAACCCGGTTGTAAAACGACGTCTCCTCCACGAACAGCTTCAGGTAATCATCATCCATATGGCCGCCTGCGGTCAATTCCGGTACACGACGGCCACGGCGGGGATTGAGATGATGACGGATTCCGTACTCCGAAGGGGGGTTAAAGCTTTCTTTTATTAATTATAATTAAAATTAAAATTAAAATCGTGTGTTATGTTAGGTACGATTGTCGCACTAAGACGTGTGTTGGTTTTTTACTCCAAGGTTGAGTACAGTTTTTCAAACTAACCTCAGTTCCTTTTATAATGGTAATTTTGGCTTTTTGTATATTTCAATATTGATTAATAATATACCGAGTACTACGTCATCGTATATGCAGCATCACACTATCACCCGTAATCCCGTATGTAGCATGAAATTCTTCCTCATTTAATTTAGTTCGGAGTTTAAGAAAGTGAATATAAAGTGAAAATATACGATGTTAGTGGATAAGAAAAACGTAAATGAATATTAGTCATATAAAACTTTTTAAAAAGATAAATGAAAAGAATTTTTTGAGACATCACAAAAAAGTAAATGAAAAAAAATTTATGGAACGGAAAGAATACTTATTGTTTAATAAGCTTCATAAGATTTTATATTTGAAAAATATAAGACGTGATAAGATACGTAGTACTCCGTATTATCTTTTAACTCAAGTAAAATTGAAATATGAAAATGTTACCAAGTATGGAGTATGTAAAAGTTTTTAGGGGAAAATAATTAAAATATCCCAAATTTTGAAGGGGTGTGAGATAAACACCTCAAATTTTCATATGTAATTTAAATAACTCAAACTTTATATAAAAAGTTATTTTAGCACCATCGTTATGTATTATTTCTTTCAAAAATGTAAATTTATGGTGTTAAAAGCATAATTTAAAATAACAAATTGAAAACATTAGAATTATACGGAGTATATAGTGGTGGGTAATACTATTTTTTTTACAATGGAAGCTTAGAATGTTAATTGTATCTTTATGAATGCTATATTATCAAATTATGAAATAAACACAAAAAATTAATACTTTTGAAAGAAATAATACATGACCATGGTGCTAATAACTTTTTATATAAAGTTTGGGGTATTTAAATTACAAATGCAAGTTTGGGGTGCTTATCTCACACCCCATCAAAGTTTGGGGTATTTTAATTATTTCTCCCAAGTTTTTAACAAAATGTGATATTTTGAATGGAAAAAGACTATATTTGATCGTTCTAGTGAGTATATTAAGGCATGTTTACTAACAGAAATATTTTTCAGTTTTTTAGAAAACTCGATAACTGAAAAAAGAAAAACAAGAAACGTGTTTACCAAAATAAGTTGCTTGAAAACTCGAGAAATAAAAACAGAAAATTATGTTTACCAAATCGTTTTTCAAAACAAAAAAAAGAGAGAAGCCTCTGTTTTTTCTTAAAGAATTGGAGAAGTGACGTTTACTAGTTTTTCAAGTTTGAAAAATATGTATGCTGCAATGAATTTGCATACATACGCCTAATGTTGGATTTGGTCCTACTTCGGAGTCAGTTCCAGTCTGGTCCGGTCAATGGTCCGACGGGCCCTATTTGGTCCGATCAACGGCTCTGCGGTCCGGTCTGGTTATTGACCCGGTGGTGCATGTCCGATCCGGGTGACGTCCGAGCAATCCCGGTCCTGTTCGGTCAATGACCCAACCGTCCCTGGCCAGTCGATCACGCGACGGTCCTTGTATGGTCTGGTCCACGTCCCGGCAGCTCCTGTATGGTTCGGTCCATTGCCCGGTAGTCCCTGTCTGTTCCGATCGGAGACCCGATGTTCCCTGTCTGGTACGATCCACGATCAGGCGGTACTTGTTCGATCTGATCGATGGTCGGGCAATCCCGATCCGATCTAGTCAATGACTCGGCGAGCTTCATTCGGTCCGGTCAATGACCCGGAGGTTCCTATCCTGTGTGGTCAACCACGTGGTGGTCCCCGTTATGTCTGATTAACGACGCGGTGATCCCATCCTGTCTGGAAAATGACCCAACGGTTTGTGTTCAATCCGATCGATAATCGAGCGGCCCCGGGCTGGTCCCGTAAACGACCTGGCACTCCCGTAAATGACCCAACGGTCCCTATTAGGGACGGTCAATGACCCGGTGGTTCAGTCTCGGTTTTTCAAAATCATTTTTAAAGTGAAGAGTTTTAAAAGAGCCGTTGAGTTGTCAACCAATAAGGAAATGAGAAAAGAATTCATCAAACTAACTGTTGAGATTGACAGGGACCGGCATGTTTCAGTCCCGGCTTTCCTGTATGTGGGACCCAGTACCCTACTTGGGTTGCACTAGGTTCGATTCCAGACCGGGAACATACTTTCGATCTTTTGGTAGGTCAAAGAACTGGGTGAAAAAACTATATGAACATGTTCTGAGGTTTGAATGGAAAACTAAAAAATGAAAACAAAAAAATGGAGAGAAAAATAGGAAAATGAAAACCGAAAATTGAAGAACATAAAACAGAAATAGAAAACTGAAAAATATCTCTGTTAGTAAACATGCTTAATGTTCGCATTGATGTACTTGGTATGAATTTAGAAATATTCTAAAAGAAAAGTAAAATTTAGATACTCCTTCAATTTTAGTTTCATTTTTGGTGTACTTTCTATTTCTGTTTTATGTTCTTCACCGACTCCAAAAAGAGCGAGACTCATCACTGAAAATGTGATAGCTTGAATGCTATTAGCGGCTGAGTCAGCCTGATTGCCTCTCAACATAAATCTAGTGTAACACCGCTCCCAAGTATTTGTACCTTATCAAATTATGTATTGAACCCTGAGAAATGAATAAAAGCATTTTTACGTGGTTGTAAATTTTTATCATTTCTTTTACGTGAATAGTAAAATTCACGTGGGGCCCACACCGGAAGTGGGGGCCGCCCGGTACTGTCGGGACCGCATATTATATTAATCTTGGCCTAGATAATATGTATATGGTGGTGGATATCCTAATTGGGCCATGGAAATGGCATAGGATTGACCGGTTGGTCAAACGGGGCCAAATTATCAGTATCGGCAATTTATCAGATAACAGCCCGAAAAGGGATTTCGGAGACTTCTAAATTAAAGTTGAGAAGTACATAATCCTTCTAAGGTCCATCAAGGATTGTGAACAAGTGTTATATTTTATTTGACCCGATAAAATAAAATATAATTAAAACAGTCCGTAAAATACAACTTTCGGGACCGATTGTACACTTGGGGACATAAAGGGATGACCTCCTACATGAGTGGGGGCCACCCCACGAATTTGGTGCTGCAAATGTCAAGGGGAGCCGCACAATGACCCGGAGAAGCAAGGAGGAATTGATTGGAAGACCAATCAATAGGAAAGTGGACCTCACCCTTGGCATTATTTTGGAGAAATGCCAAAAAGGCATCCCCAACCATCCCAACTCATACAGCTCGGCCATACCACTTTCCAAGGGGAGAGAATCTCTGAAAACTCCATTTTTATCATCCATACACGCACCAAGAGCAAGGGAGGAAGAAGGAAGGAAAAAGAGAAGAGAAAAGAGAGGTTTAGGTGGAAGAACTTGATATTAACAAGGTAATGACTCCATTAATCCCATTTCTTGTTCTTCAATCATCTTATATAAGGATGTAATCATATTTCACACCCTAGGACTGTTCTACATGTTTGGAAGTGTATAATGAGGGGTTGGAAGGTAGTTCTAGGTCCAAGAACGGACTTAGAAGCCAAAGTGACCGGTTCGCCGGAAAATAACCTCTTGGAGGTTATTTGTATTAATATGGGTTTTATGATAATAAAACCTTGTTAGTAACTTTTCTAAGGTATTCAAGGAACTTTCACGGAGTTGAAAGGGTCACCGGAATTGTCGCCGGAGTTCGTTGAAGTTCGCCGGAGTTTCGTCGGAGCTCAATAAGGGAGGCTAGAACTTCATAAGCTTCATTTAAGGTGAGAAGACGACTTTATGCTTTATAACTTTTGCGTGAGGCATGAGATTACCTAAGGTAATCAAGGATATGTTTTATGGAATGATTAAAGATAACCAAGTGTTTGCTTATGCCATGATTATACATAAAACATAGTTGAAAAGCATGTTATGTAGGCTTGGATCAAGGACGTCAAGAAGTACATGTGTATAAAATTTTACGTTAATCGGACTCCGTTTGGGCGGTCAAACGGGCGTTGACCGCCAAGTCAACTGCTATACCCGACCGGGTATTGGCAAATACCCGACCGGGTATTTGCTGAAAATTTGCCACAGGGGCTACTGTCTTCTATACCCGATCGAGTATGGGTAGGTACTCGATCGAGTATACACCAAAAATTGGCCTTACGGGCTACTGTCTCCTGTACTCGACCGAGTATAGGTGGGTACTCGATCGAGTATTGGGTTATGCTCAAAACGGGCAGTTTTGAGTGGGTTAATGTGGGCCGTTCAGGTGGGACCCGCCCACGTTGGTTCCTAAGGATGGTTATATGACTATAGGGCTAGGTGTTGTCCATAGTTAAAGGAATGAAAGGTTAGCCATATCCAGGTTAGGGTTTGGTAAGGAATAAGGTTGGGGTTGAGCATCTCCGGGACTGTAAATGATCCTGAAACTCGGTTGGGGTTGAGTATCCCCAGGACTGTAAATGATCTTGAAACTCGGTTGGGGTTGAGTATCCCAGAGACTCTAATGATCCTGAAACTCGGTTGGGTTGAGTATCCCCGGGACTGTAATGATCCTGAAACTCGGTTGGGGTTGAGTATCCTCGGGACTGTAAATGATCCTGAAACTCGGTTGGGGTTGAGTATTCCCGGGACGGTAAATGATCCTGAAACTCGGTTGGGGTTGAGTATCCCCGGGATGCTAAATGCTCCCAAAACTCGGTAGGATATTATGAATGTAGAATGTAGCTTGTGAGCTAGGCATTCGGGGAAGGAGTGAGAAAAGTCAGGTAAGCACTTTATCTCTAAAAGACTCTTTAAATGAAATGACCTACGAGTTGAGTATTTTACAAATATATATACAGTATGTATCATCGTGTGGATGAGTCACACACACACACACACATATATATATATATATATATATATATATATATATATATATATATATATATATATGTATGTATCACCCTATTTTTGGGTCTCGTGTCTGAAACATTAGTTATTCTTCATATAGCCTGCTTGTCACTAGTACTTCTGTGGAGTACTGACCCCTCCGGGGGGGCCTCACATTTTTCAAGTTAAGGCTAGAGTCCTACTACCTGCACCTTTGCCTAGGGTGATTGATCAAGAAGGAAGACGTGGTTCGTGCTTCCATTC